ATTCAGGAGAATGACCGTTCAGAGGGGGCAAAAGCCTCTCAAAAGAAGCAACCCCTGTTGATGTGTTACCAAAAGGACGTCCGATGTGTATAAATGCATCTGACAGAACTAGACATCAAGACATTTGTGAGACGGCGTCTTGTTTGTTTCCAGAAGGGACTTCTTCCACATCTTGTACAGTGAAGTGATGAACTATGTCGCATATCATCATCATCATCAAAGACAGCAACATCAATGTTGGCACTGATGCTTCACTGCCGTACAAACTTAAGGGCATGAGAATATTGTTAGTTGTGTATGTCATGGTTGTACGGAGGCTGGGATACTGCCAGGGCGCCCACACCTAGACAGGAGGACAATTAGGGTCCTCAAACAAAGCCTTTGGCTCAAAAGCCTAACTGCAAGGCGGCGCTGTTGGGCTAGAAACGCAAGTACATTACCATTTTTTACGGAACACGTCGCCATATATGTTCCAACCCCCAACCTGGGGGGCCAAGAGACTGTGTTCGTCGCACCTCTACCCATGGACCAACCTGATATGAGAGACTCTGTGAGTAGCGTGCGGACACTCCCCAGTATAGCTCAATGGGTCGCCGAGGTACACAAACCGCCACACCATTGTAAGGTCCAGTCTCTTCGTGACGGTTATGTCGCATAATCGATAACCGACGACCTAGAGGCATTTGAGAGGGCCAAATAATCCGTAATGCTGAATCGATACAATGGTTTCAGCAGAAAACACAGTCACTCAATCGAGTTACCACATCCCAGTCAAATGTACTGTGTGAAAGACGACTGCAAAGCTCTTCCAGAAGATCAACAATCGACCTTGTGAGCATCAGTAAGCATCGGAAAGCCAAATGCAGTGATTTGCCTTCGTCTTGAGCTTAGCCTGGTTTTGCTGACTGTTTCTGGTCGCAGGTTTTATAGATCAACTCGTAAACCGCTGAGTTCCACAATTCTAGAAATTTCGCCCTTTTTCATAGGTCCAAAGATGGTCTCGAAGAACCTGGTGTTCCACGAAAAATACAGTGACCATTTGGTCCGCTCTAGTGGATACTATGTCTTCATAGTGAGCTTCATTGTCAGAAGTGTTCATCATAAAATTGTCTTGGGACAGCTGACAGCAATATTTCCCCACTTCCCTTGCAGTTTTTCACCAATGTTGTAATCTAAAAAAACGCCATGTTCTAATGTTGGGGGGGGGTGCCTATTATTCGCACAATGCTCTCAGCTGCAAAATCTTTACAAGTGGAGTGGAAATTTCTACGCAAAAATGTTGCATTTTGTTGCATATGTGCTCAAACTGAAAACTGTCCTAATCTACGTTCATATTTTTGCATCTTACCAAATTTCATTGTTCACTGAAGTAATCATGCCTCTGGCTGGAAAGTTCCGTGGGATAGTGTGCCAACATCGCTGAGACCCCGGGATGCCTAAATGGGGCTTAAAAGTTTGGACTGGTACTCTCAAGTCAATTGCCCGATTGCTTTAGTCCATTACGGACGCGTCATAACTTCCGAAAGTTCGATTCCATTGTGCGAATACCGAGCGCCAATGGTGGGCAAGTGACTGCCTCAAGGACCAAACCAGTGCGTAGGGCATGCTCTACACATCGTCAGACAGCTGGCTGAACCCGGCTGACGCGATTCATCGCCTAGACCATCGAACGTTTGCTAAGCGGACGTACAAATAGGCCGCGTAAAACTGATCGACCAAACAACGATGACGTAGGTGATCTGCGCTGTCCCAACGCCAGGAGCACCTCGCCATGTTCACACACCTGTGTGATGTTCGGTTCACGTAGCCAGGGTGGAAACGTTTGCGTCATCATCAGCGAACTTGTGCGTTCCAGTAAAATGCTCGCCATCAGAACTAACAGACGAACTTTGGACTTTGCATATGCGCGTGACGTCAACGTGTGGCAACGGTGTAGCCAGACGGACTAAAGAGTAAAGCGGATTCGAATTCTTCTACGGTAAATTATATGAACTGTTCAGCGAACAGGCGTGATCAACTAGTTACTTGGATTTCACCTAACCCATGGTAGCTTTCGGTTGGTCTGAGAACGTCGGGTCACGTGTTAATACCGAACATCAAACTTTATTTGACAATATTTTTACAACCTAGCCTGAATCCTGTTCCAGGCACTCACATGTGCTAAATTCCGCGTTTTCTAACCAAATACCTAAACGATATGCAGTGGTCTGCATAGAACTGTACCAAATTTTGTACAAAACCTTGCAAGTCACACCCGTTTGTATTCGGACAAACAAACAAAGAATTCAATCGTAGGTAATGCGGGAATGGTGAAATTCGCGAACAGTGGCATGGGGCACAGTTATCCTCTTGTGTCCACACCAAACGGGTTAGGAGACTCAAGTTTCGATCTCATCAGCGGTACGCATCCGTGGCCGTCACGGGGTTCGGTTTCTGGACATGTGACTCGCCAGACGAGCATGTAACCACTACTCAACCGGTGCCCACTAGAAGCACCTGACGTCTGAATGGGTAATGTTATGCACGGTTGAGCGACTCGGTTACTTCATTCGTCTGGTTGAAGACAACCAGTTTTTATGACGCCGTCTTATTTTTGTGAATCGCATTCCCCATCCGTATTGACGCAAGCTTTATGCAAGACACGCGGCGTTGGATTCATAAAACGAAACGCAGCGTGCGTTATACATTCGTTTGTGGAATCCTTCAGTTTGTCTATTTGAAATCTGTTTTTTTTTGATGGCATTCCATGAATCTCAATGGAACTTCTATCGGACTAAATGACAACCAGCAAGGTGCTAATGCGAACAGTACGATTTCACAGGAAATTTAATCTAGCCTTCTTGAGGGGGACTACTCACTACTCAGCAAACTTGTGAGTAGTTTCCTTCACGAAAATATACTGCGATATTTTCCATAGAGGAAAATGTTGGTAGCTCAGGTAGTGTAGATGGTGGTCGTTGGCTTGTTCGCTGAGCCGGGCAATTTGATTGCAAACGTTTCATCACCAATCGAGGTGACATCATCAGTGCGTTATTGTGGAGCGTAGTAGTGCGTAGCGGTGGGTTGGTGGTTGTGCGTGTGTTAATGTACGTGCTGCTAGCAGGGGATGACCTTTGGTCGCGATTGGTTGTTCGGTCGGGCGATTCCATTGGTTGCTCCGTTGTCCTGTGTCTCCTTTCGCCGGTGCCTACGTGGCCTTTGAGCTCGGCATCCCCTGGCGTCGTAATCTGGTCGATGCTAGAGTGACCTTTGTCCATTCCAATCCTGGCTTGTGATCTTTTTTTATTTGCCTCCTAGGAGTTCCTTGTTTCGTTGTTTGTGAGTCCAATATTCAGTCCTCTTTGAGTTTTCCGGTTGAGATGTTGGTCTTTTGCACGCAGGGGTGCGTAAATTGGGTCCAGNATCAAGTTTACTATTGAACTGGAAAGAAACAATCGGCTACCATTCTTAAACGTTGTAGTGAGCAGAAAGCTGGATTGGACTCTGGAAACCTGCGTACACCGCAAATAGACTCATACGGATCAAATACTGAATTACGACAGCAATCATCCAGTAAGCCACAAAAAGAGCTGCGTCCAAACCTTGTTCAAGAGGGCGGAGACACACCGCAGCACCACAGAACTACTGAAGAAGGAGGAAAACCATCCATTCAGAGCGTTCCAGAACAATGGATGTCCAAGGAGTTTTATCAAGAGAAACTTGAAGAAGACATCTCAACAACAGCAACAGCAAGAACAGGCCACCAGGCGGGTAGTCCTACCTTATATCAAGAACATATCAGAGCTCGCAACCAGATTATTGGCTCAAAAAGGAACCTTCGTGGCCCATAAACTGAATGCCACCCTGAGGAAATTAATCTCCAGACCAAAGGACAACCGGGACAAAACCAAGAGGAACAATGTGTTATACCAAATCAACTGCAACGACTGCAACAAATTCTACGTTGGATAAACTGGGAAGAGATTATGTACACGAATAAAGGAACACAACGCATCTGTCAGGAGGTATGTCCCCCTGTCCTTGATATCTATACAGGAGGACCAAGAAAACGCGAAAATTTTGGCATACGGAAACAGGCGACATGGAAGAGAATTTCTGGAAGCATTGTACTCCACGGCAGATTCGATCAACCGGTGCAATGAACTGGATCCAATCTACACACCTCTACGTGCAAAAGACCAACATCGCAACCGGAACACTCAAGGAGGATCGAATATTGGATTCACAAACAGAGAGACAAGGAACACTTTGGAAGCGAATCAACAAAGGTCACAAGTTGGGACTCGAAAAGACAAAGGTCACTCCAGCCTCGACCAGATTACGGTGGTAGGGGATGTCGAGCTCGGTGAATGGGGACACAGGACAACCGAGCAACCAATGTAACAGCCAGACCGAACAACTAATCGCGATCAAAGGTCATCTCTGCTAGCAGAACGTATATTAACACATGCGAAACGCTATTCAACGCACAACCACCAACCCACCGCTACTCACTACTACGCTCCACAATAACGCACTGATGATGTCACCTCGATTGGTGATAAAACGTTTGCAATCAAATTGCTCAGCTTAGCGAACAAGCCAACGATCATCATACTGCAATATTTAGAATATCGTGCCAACTGGAAAATGAGACGACCTGTGTGCGGCGCATTCAGTTGTTGAATATCATAAACACGAGAGATTCAGTTGAGTCTCTCATGAAAACCAAATTGATTTGGGAATGAGTGTATTTCTCGAAAGCAGTCCAATTTGAGTTCAAGTAGAATATAAGGTTGGGGACTGTGCCTACCTGATGAGCCCCAAAAAGGGCGAAACCGGTCGTGGGCTGACGATGGATTTTCAGCAACCTTATGAGTAGTACATTACAAAGATATCTTCAATGGTATTTCTAGTGCTTTAAGTAAAAATGCAGACTTGTCCGTTTACGGCTCAGCTCATCAAGATCAATACACTCCAATCAATTAAACACAGACGGAACATCACTCCTCTCCCTAAAATTGTTGTCGACAAAACTTGGGAGATAAAGTGACAAACGCATCAAAGCTTTGGTTTCACCGTTGTCCGCAGTCGGCGTATATTGTGATGCGAATAACACATGGTTCACGCGAAGTGTTGATGAGACTAAGTTCGTTACGAAGCCTGCAGCCTGCACAACTCTTCAAGACGGATGACCAACAAAAGAGAACGATGCTTGTCAGTTGGCTATCTACTGAGGCGTGTGTCCCATGGTATAATCGGATCAGATATACTGAGGGCAGACAAGAGCGAAACATGATCTCTCCCAGTTGGATGCAATGTGAGTACATCCTTGTTTAGCCCTAATCGGCTCATTCAGCTGTTCCCATCACCTTTATTTCAGCATTCAGAATATTTCCGCTGACACTCTTATTTCTTCCAACAAGGATTGCTTTGTTAGAACGTCATTTGGAGATTGTGTGTGGATTATAACCACAGTGAAACTAATTCACAGCTTCTTTCATAGAGGAAACTACTCACAAGGTTGAGGAAAACTCCTCGGCAGCTACGACCGGTTTCGCCGTTCTTGGGGCTCATCAGGTAGACGCGCAGTCCCCGAGTTTTCGTCAACCCTTTGTTCTATTTGAACACAAATTGCACTGTTTTCGAGAAATACACTCATTTGCAAATCAATTTGGTTTTCACGAGAAACTCAATTGAATCT